TGGAGAGTAAAGAGACACGGTCAGAAAAACCCTGGTAGAGGTTGTTTCTAAGGTGGGTCTTGGGTAATTGATTTGATTGGGAGCGACACTTACTTAGGCTTAGAAGGGGAGAGGACTATAAGCAAGTAAGAGCATAAAGAATAGAAAGAAGCTTTGAGCCTGTGGTAATAGGGCTGTTCTGAGAATAAAACGTAAGGTTAGTTGAGGATAAGGGATATCGTAGGTACATACACACCCTCGAACTTCCATCTTATTAGAACCCACATTTACAAGTTGGTTTTTACATGCTTTACAGCAAGGATTGCAGACAGTATTTTGAGACTGAAGTTTCATAGCTCTGTCTCCTAATCTGGACTCTGTTAACTGCCTGTTTTCAAGTACAACTACAGCATTCTGACATTATTATATGTATTTTATAGTTTTTAACCTCTGTAAGACCTAACCATTTAGATGGGAGATAGTTCTAGATTTTGAGTTGGGCAAAGAATTCAGACTCTCATTTCTGGAGATTTGTTTCCTTCATTTGTCAAATACTCATTATTATCTAAGGCTTGATGAACTTTTCAATTTTTACCTTAGGTCTTCTGATTTTCCAATAACTGATTTTTCCCAAGGTACATATTTTTCATCCCTGTCACTGACACTGTGAATGTTTTGATCTCTTAGCCCTGACTTCCAGTGGCATAGTTCACTAGAGTCCGTGTTTCTCCTTCTCTGCCATCTGAGCAAAAGAGAATATGCATTCTGTCAGTAGGTACAGAAACTAGTGCCAAATATATCTTTGGCCAAAGATGTTAGGACCTTTCTTTTCAACACCAGTAAGCCCTGGTTTGTCTTAAGTATTGAATCTTAACTGTTGCTATTGTTATGTTTTTCATAGCCCAGAGTAACAACTTAGAATTTTATAATCCTGTCATTTGGATAGCTGGAAAGAAAAGAGATCCAATTATGTCTAGAGAAGGACAAAGAGATCTAATCTCACAGAATGTCTGGCTCCACATAAAGAAAGCAACTCACAGTTATGTGAGATGCACTTTTTAAAATTGAATTGTCTAAATGTCTTTAAAAAATTGTTGGCTAAGTAATGTGTTTTCATGGTTAACCAGGTAAGTATGTAGATTGACAGGTAAAGAACATTTAGAGGATAAAAAGTTTTACCCCAGTTTCTGTCCATTCCTACCTACTCCCCAGAGTGTAACACCACTTATATTAGTTTTTAGATTTAATTCCCTTCAGTGTTTTATCCTGCATGTATAAGCAAAATTGAAGTGTAAAAAAGGGATATCAGACATGGATTCTCACTCCACTTAATGACAGCCATGTTTGCCAGCCCTGTTATTCTTGGATTTTTTTTTTTTTTTTAAAGCTATAGAAACTGGCCTTGTGTAAGAATGGTAGAGGTTAAGTGTTTTAGCTAACAATGATTATGCCCTCAACTTTGCTGTCTGCCCTTGGATGAACCACAGTTATTACATGGTCAAGGTCCGTGGAAAGTTATCTGAGCCACATGAAGAAGTTTGAATTTTGTCTCAGGATCAGTGGCAGGAAGAAACTTGATTAAACACTCACTTATGTAGATCTGGACTTTAAAAAGATCATCCAGTCCAAGTGGACAGTAGATGAGAGCATAGTGGGAGTGGCCTGAGAGAGGATTCCAGGTGAGAAGCAGTGGTGCTGATCTGAATCAAGGGCACTGGCAGAGTCCAGAGCAGTACAGGTGGGCTTAGGCAATACTTTGGCAATAAAATGACAGACTGGGGTTTACTAAAATAGATGCAGGAAACACAGAAAGGAAATACAGGCGACAGTTTGGCTTTGCTCTTTAGAGGTCTAGCGAGCATTGGAGACAGATTTGGTGACATAGAGGAAGGTTCATCTTTGGGTATGTAAGCAATATAAATGTCCCCCACTCAGTTAATTTTATAGATCTGAGTTTAGTACAAAAATTTGAGCTACAGGTAGAAATCTATTATTCTGTAGCATATTATAACTGTGAAGTTTTGTAAATGACGCATCATAAAGAGTATGTTGCCAGGCATGATGGGACATACCTGTAATCACAGCACTTGTGAAGCTTAGGCCAGAGGACTACCATAAATTTGCAGCCATCCTGGGCTACTCCAGGGAAACACTGTCTCAAAAAAGACTATGTTGACTGAAAAACTAATTGGAAAGTAGTCAGGAACTCCACTCTGAAGAATGTCGGCATCCAAAGTATAACCTGTGCTGGGGAGATGGCTCAGTAGAATAAGTGCTTCCCTGGCAAGCACAAGGGCCTGAGTTCAATCCCTGGTTCCACCCAAAAAAAAAAAAAAAAGAAAGAAAAGAAAAGAAAAGAAAAGAAAAGAAAAAAAGAAAGTGTAACCTGAATTACCATCTAAATTATATGGTGAACTTCTTATAAATTCAGACTCCGAGTGTTAGCGAGACCTTTCTTTAGCGGTAGTGGTTATTCACACCCTTTTCATACTGAGGTTTGTCAGTCATATTTTTAACAAACATTTCAGGACTTTATCCCACACTAGTGTTGGAGATAGTAGAGATAGGTAAAAGAAGCGAGTAGTACTAAAAGAGAAGCTTGAGGAGTGACCAGAACATAACAAAACCATGAGAAAGTAACATTGATGTCAAGGGAACAAACTTTTAGGAAGATGATGTCAGCTGTTACCTTGCCAGTAGGATTGAATAAAAAACCACTAAAATCTGTCCATTTTAGCAACATGAAAAGAGATGGTGACTTTGTCAGGAATATTTCTCCACTATAGTAATACTGAGGACAAGAGCTAAATTAACAGGCCAAGAAGTGAATGGAGAGGGAAATGACTATTGCTAGGAAGGTAATGCTTGGTGAAGGGTCACCATAAGGTGAGCTATCATATTCAGCTGTGTAGTCCAGGCAGTTACATGTATGTTGTAATCCAGAAGAAAGCTGAGTTTACTGTTGTGTTTATCAGAAGGAGTTTGTAAAGATAGGAAGAAGAAATATGGGATGTCACTGGAATAAAATCTAAAGCACAGGATAGGGAGAGATCTTAGATGACAGTAAGAAGTACTGTATACTCAGAAAAGTTTTTATATTGATTGGCAAGAGGTAGAGTGAAGGGACAGTCCCATCTGGGCCACGACATACTTCAGAAGTTCAGTTCGTTACGGAGAGTGGCAGTTAATATGTTAAGGAAACATTGCTGTGAAGCAGTAAGATTAATGTTGGAGGCCACAATTTGTGATTACACTATATATCTAAGTAATTTTTCAGAACAATGAATTTTTATTTCTATCTCAAGCCCACAATGTAAAACTTTAAATATATTAAAACAAAGTATTTTTTATTTTAGAGTATTTTGCATTAATTGATATTGTTGTATAAATGTTTAAGGCCAACAGATGTTTAAATAGAAATAGTTTCTCAGGAACTGCTATTTTATATTTTGTCTTTGTTTTCATGAGAAAAATGTTCTGTGTGTTTCCTGTTTCAGGAGGTTTACTGAGCTGAAGCATTACAGCGATGAGCTGCAATCAGTCATCTCCCATCTTCTCCGAGTCAGAGCTGTAAGTACTCAAAGCTTTTCATGCACATTCCATAGGCAAAGTGCTTTCATTTAATAAAATCTCTTAAATAATGGTGGCATTTATAACATGTAACTGATTTTTACATTCAAATTTGGCATGTCCATCCAAACTGTACTAAAAAGAAGCATGGAAGGTTTTCTGTCAGAACAACTTGAAGGGTTTTATGCCATTGTTTTTTGTGTTGTTTATAATAATATAGTTGTTTTGACATTTTGTCAAAGGCTTGCCATTTCATATTTGGGATGTGAATAAGTGTAGATTCTAAATTTACATGTAGTTTCCAATTTTCTTAAGAGTCTGAGGATAGTTTAAGGATGTTATGCCATATTATGTCTAGGTTCTTAAATATACTTACTTGAGATGAGTCTGCCAAAGGCAACTAGAAGTTAGGAATAATCATTGTACTTAGCTTTGTAGTTTGGCTGTAATAGATGAGGGGGGCATTTTCATTAAATTAATGTATCTAGAAATGTGTCATCTACTCTGGTGCTTTCAGGCAACCTAGAGGCAACTTGCCTGTGCTAGAGGCATTGAAAGAGACTGAGTTATAAAATGTAGGATTACATTTTGTGCTGATAGGAATCCTCTTGAAATGGCATCTGTTGAATACAAAAATCCCTTAATATAGGCCAGTGGGGAGTAGGGGTAGCCTCAGATTCAGCCAACTGACCATGTAATGATTCCTAAAGTGGAGGTATATCCCATGTTCTCTATTGAAATGGAAGTGTATCCTTTTGTTCTGTGTACCTTTCATGTGTTTGAAGATTTTCCTAACGGTATAGAAAAACAGACTAAAGAAAATCCTTCCAAAGGTCTTAATGTTGGTCCATCTCCTGTTCAGCTGTTCTGTACCTTTAGGCCCTATACCAGTCCATTTTCTGTTGTGATAACAAAATATCTTCACATCAATAAGCTCAGTCTTGGAGGTTCAGCTCCTGGTGAGGGCCCCCATGCTGTGTTGCAATGACAGATGGCTTCCTAGTGAGAGCACATGTGAGAAGTAGGGACCACAGGACAAGCCAGGAAGCTGGAGACTGAGGGAGGGCCCTGTTCATGACAACCCACTCTTGCAGAAACTTCCTGGGTTTGAGTGTCTGATTAACCTTTCCTGAAGACCCACCCCCAGTGACCTGAGCACTTCCTATGAGCCTACCTCCTAAAGATACCAGTACTATGAGGATCAAGTTTGTAACATGAACTCTTAGGGGACAGACTACATCCAAACCCTGGTATTCTTTTTCATTAAATTAAAATACTCTTCCTAGAAAAACAAAAGGTAGCCATGAGAATTACTAGGGTGGAGTCAAGAACTGGGTATAGGAAAAGATGGGTTAAAGAGATAAAGTTTCTATACCTTAGTTGCCTTGAAATTATCCAGATAAATTAGAGGTGGGGCTGAGGACAGAGTCACCATGTGTCCCCTAAGAACACTGTAAGAATAGTTCACGTTGCTTTGTCTTCCATGCCACACAACCTGGAGAAGCTGTTAGCTAGGCTAATTCTCAAAGCTTTACCCCCTGCAAGGCTTTCAGCCACAGAAAAGGGTGGTAGCAAGGCCATAGGTTGCAGTCAGAGAGACAAACCATTAAGCAGTCACAGTCCCAGCCCAAGATACTAAGAACCACTTAGTCTTTCATGCTAGAAAGGAAGAACAGATCTCAGAGATAGAGGATTGATCTGGAGAAACTACAGACTTGAAAATTCCATGGAGCAGAGGTGACTAACTTAAGTGCCACCTGAAGAATGGAGAAGCTGGTGTGGTGGTGTATGCATGTAATCCCAGTTCTTGGAGGCTGAGGCAGGAGGATCACAGGCTCATGCCAGCCTGAGCAATCTCGTGACTTCATGACACCCTGTCTCAAAATTTAAAGGAAAAGCGAGGCAGGACTCAAGGTGTAACTAGTGCAAAGTCTTTGGTTTCCTTCCAGTATGCTCCCCTCATACTGTATATAGCTCTTTTGTAAATCATTTTGGCAGAAAGTATTAGGAGGGCCAGGGAGATGATGCAGCAGAATAAGCACTTTGCTGGCAAGCGCAAGGGCCTGAGTTCAATCCCTGGTTCCACCAAAAAAAAAATATGAGGAGTCTTAAATCGCATAATCTTGGACTCCTTAGGAAAATCAAGGGTAAGAAAGCCGTGTATGTCCAGATTTTTAAAATAGTACCATATAATGGCAGGCCACAGAAGTTTGTCTTTTTCAACATGTAATCACCTACTACTGCAATAAGGATAGAGAAGACAGACTTAGTTCAAGAAGGAAAATAAGATGAGACTATCAGATTTCATTCTATTGTTACAGAATTTGTTAGGTGTCAGTTGTATCACTTGTCACTTTTCCAAAAGAAAGCCTTCTCAACAGAACCAACTTGAGTAGCAGTCTGGACTGCATCATTGGGTGTAGCCCCTTTCCTTAGTACTGGTATTAGTATTCTCAATTACCTAAAACCATTGAATTAATCTGTTTTGTTAATTAATAATAATCTGAGACAGGTTTCACTAGATAGTGCCGGCTAGAATTGAACTCACTATGTGTCTATAGGCTGGCTTCAAACACAGCAACTCTCCTGCCTCAGCCTCCAGAGTGCTGGGATTACAGGCTGAATTAATCTGTTTTTTAATCATTCTTTTTTTTTTTTTTGTTATAGACCAATTAGTGCTCTAAAATGAAGTTTTCCATTGTATGCTCTTTGGAATGCTGGTTGTATATGATGTTCCCACTGCAAATCATCTCTCTGTTGAATGGTGTTAAAAATCTAAAAATCCCGGCCCAGGAGATGGCTCAGTGGAATAAGTGCTTCCCTGGCAAGTGCAAGGACCTGAGTTCAATCCCCGGTTCCACAAAAAAAAAAAAAAAAAAAGTCTAAAACTCCTGCAAGAAAGGATTGTTAAACTTTATTATCTCAATGTTTAACACTTCAGTAAAGCATTTCTGTTAAAAATTCCAGGAGGATTGCAAGTTTGAACCCATTCTGGACAATTTAGCAACTTAGTGAGACCCTATCTCGAAAAAAAAGGGATACAAAAATTTTGTTACTAAAAAGTAGGAATGTCTAAATACTGATTTAAGATTTTCCAATAAAGATAGCCTGTACATTTTATATACAATTCCCTGGAATTTTAGCAGCTGTTTCCATGTTATCTTATTAAAGATAACATTAATTTTCTGAGTGTTTTATTTTGTGTTTTTGAGCCAGAGTCTCACTGTATTGCTCAGGCTGACCTTGAACTCACTGTGTAGCCTAGAGTGGCCTCAAACTTTCAGCCACAGCCTCTTAAGCACTGGGATTACAGGCATGCACTACCATCCTTAGCAAAAGTATTATCATTCTTGTAGGAAAATAAAGGCAGTAACTAAAACTATGCATTAAAGATTTATAAAAATATAAGATAAGATAAACATTGTAGGGCGTGCCACTGTTTTGTGTATGGTGAGTTTTTAAAGAATTATTTATTTTTTTATTTTCCAAGTTTATTGTACTAAACATTTGGGAGGTTCTTGCTCTTTTTGCATGAGGGTGAAATTACTTTTTAAAACAATCCATCTATAATGCTGAGCTGATAGAAACTTCTGTTCAATGTTTCAGAGAGTAGCAGATCGACTCTATGGAGTATATAAAGTACATGGAAATTATGGGCGGGTATTCAGGTAAGTGTTACAGTTTTTTTAAAAGAAATAATTAGAATAATTAGCTTTTTTTTTTTTTTTTTGCTTTAAAATAATCTTTATGAGAGCCAAGCATGGTGTCACTCACCTGTAATCCTAGCACTTGGAGGCTGAGGCAGGAGGATCACTATGAATTCAAGGCCAGCCTGAACTACACATCAAGGCCTTGTGTCAGTCAATATTTATAAAACTCATGAAAATGAACAATCCTGGAGGGTAGAACATTACTTTTTAAATGATGTCCCATAATAATGGTTTTCAAGCTTTCAAATACCTCCTTTTCATCTTAAAGCCTTTCTTTAGTCAGAAAGTAGTAAGGAAATTCCACATATTGAGCAGATACGAAGTGAAACTGCTCTGATTGAGTGAAGGTGAGTACTTTTACTGAAATGAAAACGCCTAAGAAAATTCAGTGGAGATTACTGCTATCCTAAAAATTCGTGATTTTCTCTTTCTTTTGTAAAACGAGTTTTTCAGTCTTAGAATTGTTGCTGTTGTGATTGTTGTTGTTTTCAGTAGTTGAACCCAATGTGTGCTATGGTAGATAAGTGTTCAGCCACTGAGCTATGTCCCCAGCCTGTTTTCATTTTTATTATGAGACAGAGTTTCACTAACTTGCCTGGCTGGCCTTCCAACTTGTGATTCTGATTTTCCTGCCTCACCCTCCCAAGTAGCAGAGATTACAGGGATGGAATAATTTTATTGGTTATTAGAATATTTGTGTAGCCAGCATAGTCCAGTGGTAGAATAGTTGTCCGACATTTGTAAGGCCTTTGGTTTTGATCCCCATGATGGGGAAAACAAGTATTTTTGCATATAATTTACACTTTTTTCTGGACCCTTTCCTCAATACTAGGAATTAAACCTAAGCCCACACAGGGAGCTCTGTCTCCAGCGTCATTTATCTGGCAGGGTCTTGCTGTGTAGCCCAAGCTGGCCTCATACTTTTAGCATTCCTACCTCAGTCTCTGCAGTGTTTGGATTTCAGTTATGGACTACCACACCTGGCTAATATTTCAGTTTTGAACAATTTCCTTTTTGATTTTATATGTTATTTGTGACATTTTAGAAGTTAACCAGATTTTTATAAGAAAAAATATCTCTGAATGTTCCAGAATATGTCCTCAGACAGAGTCAGTGTAAAAATATAGGGCTGGCAAATAGCTCAGAGGCACAGCACCTGCCTGGAATGCATGAATTCCTGAGTTTGAGTCCCATTGCCAAAAAAATATAGTTCATGCTACATTTTGGAAAGATTCAAATGGGATAAAATACAGGAAGAATAAAAGTGATGTCTTCTCACCTCTGTGTAAGTGTGACATTACACAGTGATGTCTTCTCACCTCTGTCTGCCAACCTCTGAGGGCCGCTCCTGAAGACACCTATTCCAGTCTGCCTTGTGTACCCTGCTAGCAAAAGGTAGCACTAGATATGTGTGTGTTATGTAGATGCTTTCTTACCAGGCTTTGCACATGCTGGCCAAGCATTCTGTCACTGAACTGCAGCCCAGCCCTATGGTGGGAGTAGCCTAGAAATGAGAGGAAGGGACAAAGGAAGGAGAGACAGCAAGTTACTAGGTAGTCAGTTAAGAAAGTCCTGAGGAGGAGGAGACAGCAGAGCCTATAGAGGAGATGGGCACAGGATTGAGGGTGGATGGAGAATAGGATGGGGAAAGGAGTGGCCGCAGGGAGGAAGCCACAGGAGTAGCAGCAGCCTGTGTCCTGTGAAGGAGGCTGTCCTGGTGAGAACCACTGGGTAACCAGTGCCTGGGGCAGAGGTGAAAGTGTATGTCATACCTGCAACCCACAACCTGTGTACCCTCCTCTCCAGCTCTGCTGCGACTGGCTGAAAGCAGTTGAGACTAAGACACAATATCTCCAACCCCCCGGGTTCTGTCAAATTGTGTGAAATTTACATTTCATTCTATAGAGAATCCACAGCTGTTTTAATAATTCATTCTTCAGGCTAGGCATGTATGGCATACACCTGTAATTTCAGTACTGGGGAGGCTGAGGCAGGAGGATCACAAGTTTGAGTCCATCCTGGGGTACATACCGAGTTCAAGTCCAGCCGGAACTACATGGGGAGATCTGTC